CCTCTATTGTTGCTGGCTGGGCTCATTCCTGTTGTAGGGAACAATGTTAACATGGACATGTGGTGGCGCTAGATTGTCAACATTAAAACGAAACAAAAAAATGTGTGCGCGATCGAAAGTAGAATCGGTACCAAACCCGAACACTGTACAGTACATTCTAGCAAAATGCATACAAACTAATTTATATGAATAACTAACCAGGTAAATATAAAACATAAAACCTTATCCTCGTTTGTGTTTGTTGTTGGTCTTCCTACGAGAACCACCGAAAGAGCAGTCCTTGCCATTCTACTCTAGGCTAGGCGTAAACTTCCTATTTTAGTTAGGGCTCTACACTAGAGGCATTCAGGGATAGGCCTACCTACCTCCCTAGCATCTGACCAAAAATAAAGCCAACCCTCTCTATTTTTTCTTTATATTCTCTAGGCCTACTAGCTTGTAGTAGTAGGGAAGCAGGACCTTCTTCTGAATCAAACTCAACCAGAATTCACCACAAATTAAGCACTAAAAATCACGTATTTTTATATGTTCTATTGTGTGCAATATAAATGTTTCTATATATTTAAGGGGCAGCTGACTCTTTTGAGTTACAGTAATTAATTTGCTTTAGATGTCCCTGATCATCGTGTTGTTTCTCGTTGTCTTGCTTTTCTTTTGTGTTCTTGGTCAAATAAATAAATGAAAAAGATGAAATGAAAATGAAATTTTTTTAGTTCTGATTTGATTAGCAGGTAACTCAGTAGCCACTAATTTCTTTTCTCTGTAAATACCAACAACAATTGTAACATAATTGACTGAAATTATCTTAACTTGAGGAGAATTTCTGGAATGGCAACAATTCATAAATATCAATTACCATTTCCTCTTTCAGAAGATGTTCCACAGCAGCACACAACGAAAATTCTGGACTTTCCATTCAGAAGAACAGCTTCTTATTCTCCGCAAGGATGGAAATCAAGACTTCATCACAAAGCACGAGCATAGATGCAAGGTCCTTTTCTTATGCATTTCCTTCTTTCGTTTTCACCTTTTTTTGAGTGACAATGAGCAGGGGTCCCAAGTTTGAAGAAGTCATTTCCGGGAGATCTGTTTAAACAAGCTTTCTTACCTTAGCACATCTAATTTAGTTTGCTGATGGTGATACCTATCGACACTGACTTCCGTGAGATAAATGATGATAAAGGGCTAATACAGTTGTAAACACTTTGCAGATTTAGTGGGTTTGCGAGAGATGGGTTATTTTTTGGCAGATTCTTGACCATGTGTACGAGGCCGTCCCGATTTCCGGGAAACTCACGCGACTTGCCGGAGACTTGGGACCCCTACAATGAGCCTTTCTGGCATGTCAGTCAGACATGACATAACTAACCAGTCAAAACATGGGCAGGAAACCATGCTTGGTTCACATACATATGTGTGTCTTTCCTACAAACACATGTTATACTGTCGTTTTGTGGGTATTTAGCAATAGTAACCAGGAGGTAGTGCTTACAGCAAAGGAAGGTCCATTGCAAATTTGTTTCATGCCATGATACTTTTACACTGGCCTTGAGTTTGGTAGATTTTAACAATTATGAAAGACCGCCCTCAAGCTACCAGAAAACTACAACCAGAGCGGTGATGGTTCCAGGTAGTTATTAACATGAGACTCGGCAAGTCAAACAGGTGGTTTGAATTGAGTGGGGGAGGGGGGCCACCTGGGTCTTCCAGCCGGGGTTCCCTGGTAAAAGCCTTTGTGTGGTCAAGTGTGTGTGTCTCCAGTGTTGCAGAAAATTTAGGTTTAGAAGGATAAAAAATTGCAACAACAATAACTAACTTGTTAGATTAACCATGGGGAGAAATTTGCCCTCCCGACCCCTATGGGTACTTCTCAAAGTATAAGCAAAATGCAATTGGCTTTAGGGTGGCAAATTAATTTATTTTTTCTTCACGGATTTACAGAAGGTATAAAAATTACATAAATTGCAAAATGTAGAAAATATATCAAAATAGTACTTTTAGACTAACATGAGATTTATTTCTTTTCAAATAAGATTTATCAGGCATTTAACATTGAAAATTGATTTGTATTATCACATCATTTTATTACAGTATTATTTGTATTTTAAATAATTATTTACAGACACACCAATTCTTTTCTGATTTCAGAGTGAAGATCCTTTTTCTTACTTTTTAACAGAGGCAGAGGAACGTCTAATTTGTCGACATTATGAACACTTATTACGAGATTTATGTCGTAATTTTGAACCACCAATGCCAAGTGCTGTAATGGTAACATAATTTACATTATAATAAATACAATTTTTGCATTTTTTTTTTTTTTTGACCATTGGAGACAAGCTTTAAATATTTATTTATTTAAAGCCAGGATTTGGAGGAAAAAAATGTTCATATGTTGTACAATATGGAAAAAGAGGCATAACCACCCTTTTTTCCACCTTTTCCCCCAGTTTTTAAATATTCAAAAATCTATATCTCATTAACCACTCCGAAGATTTTTAGTAAATAATGGGTTTTGTGTCTTAAAAGTTTACAACAGAGCCTGGCTTTCAGGATGTGATAATTGGGGTGGGAGGTGAGGGGTGGAATAGTTATGATGAATTTGTTTTATCCACATGGAAAGAACATGGTTATCTCTTTTCGCTAAAGTAAACAAACAGAAATGTATTTATCCATTTTTCTAAATTTTTTAGATGGCATGATGTAGAATAAAAAAGACATTTGATCATAATTTGATGAATTGGTCTTGTAAATTTTTAAAATTGTATATACAATTTTTAAGGTTTATTATGCAAAAAGATGATAACAGCTATATATGTTTTACTCTTATTATTCAAGTTTAAATGGATTAATTGTGTATGATACAGTAGTTATAAGGCTTTTATTATTGTTTTATAGGCAACAGCTTGTGCATATTTGAAGAGATTCTATCTACAAAACTCGGTGATGGATCATCATCCAAAGTATATAATGTGAGACTGGATTATTGATTGTCTTTTTCTGGGATTTATATATTACTTATATAACAGCAGAAAATATGTATTGCATTCAAATTGGTGGTTTAAATCAGTTTCCAAACATCTGTAACAAGACCAGTTTAGAAAAAAAAAGATGATTATAAACCAGTTTATTTCTTAAAACGTTTTAAAAAGAAGTGGGCTTATTTATATAGGTAACCCCAAAGACAAGATCAGTGGCCACAACATTTTGATTGTCATACTACTATGGAGTACTAAAGAAGAACCAATAAATATAATAGACCTTTTCTTTGTGTCAATCAAACTGGACAACTGACCAATCAAAACAGTGCCAGGGTGGGGGGTTGCCTAACAAGTGCTCATGTTTGCATATGTTTTTATGCTGTCGGTTTTTAGGGCCTTAGCAACGATATCCAAGGGGTGGGGTTTAGCAGAAAGGTCTATTATTGTTTGGTATCCCCAATACCTGATGCATTCTTCTATTAATTTTCTATAATTCTGTTTATTTTAAATTTTTGTATTATTCAGGCTGACATGTTTATATCTTGGCTGCAAAGTAGAGGAATTCAACGTATCTATTGTACAGTTCTGTGCCAATGTACAGGATGACCCGGAGAGGGCCGCAGAGGTCATCCTCACTCTCGAGCTACTTGTTATGCAGTCTCTCAACTTCCATCTCACAGTTCATAACCCTTACCGACCCCTGGAGGGTTTTATTATTGACCTCAAGGTAAGATTTAAAGGTAAATTTTACATATTAGCTCAAACTGTAGTAAGTGTTGATGGTTGCTTACACCGATTTAGTATCAGGAACTATAAATACACATCTTACAATTATTGTTTTTCTAATTTTTTAAATATATTCAGGGGAGATATTTTAGGCTTATGTGTTATATCTATTAGTGGCATAAATTTAAAATTAAAAAAATGGGCCAGATAATAATACATATTTGTTTAGCTTTTCTGCTCTCCCCCAATTTTTACCCGCTTAATCTGATTTCAAAATAAAATTAAATATTTAAAAGAAAAATAAAAATGCTCAAGAAATGTTTATTAGAATGCTATTCAAAATATTAGGCATTTTAAAATAATGAATGACAGTAACATGATATTACTTGTAACACAGATAAAGAAAATTTTAAACAATAATAAATGTTAATAAATGGAGTTCAATTGAATTTTTTTTGTATTTGAGAGCTTGTAAACATCTTGTGTCTTTTCCTTTCTTGTTTGACTTACCGTTCATCATTGGTTTGTATTGGAATTTTAAAAATGTAGTCACAAAACAAGTGGGTTGGCAGATTTTTTCCGATGGCTCCCACTCCCCCACCCATCAAATCCACCCCTGTCTAATGTGTGTGAACTGCTGACATGCCAGTTGATCCATGAAGTGAATTACTTGATGTTAGGTTTCACCTTCTTAATCCCTTTTATTTATTTTTCAGACACGTTATACTTCTTTGCGTAATCCTGATCAACTCCGACAAGGAGCTGATGAATTTCTCCATCGCTGCATTGCTACAGATGCTTGCCTTCTCTTCACACCATCCCAGGTATCAAACTTAAGCGAAACAATAAAATTCCAAAAGTATAATAGACTATATTTAGAAATTAGTATGAGAAATAGTTTTTGCCAAATAACAGGTGAATGATAATACCATAAAATAAAGTGTCTTTAAATTAGTAGAACTTAATTGTGTATAATATTGTGTATATTCTTTCCAGTATGTATTTATATCAAATTTCTTTACATATTTGGCTTAAAAAAAGTATTTTAATTATTACTGAGCATTCACTAATATTTTTATTCATGCAGATATCACTGGCAGCCTTGGTAACTAGCGCTTCAAAATCTGGTATCAACATAGACAGGTTGGTAATTCCGACAGGGTTTCTATTTCTGTGAGCAGATACATTGTTACCTGTTAGCAGTTGTAAATCTAATGTCGCTCTTCTGTAGAGGGCGCACTTCATTAGTTTATTCATTCTTTTACTGTCTTTCAGTTATGTTACTGATGTTCTACTTGGACCTGAAAATAGAACTGGTTTAAGAGACACTGTTAATACTATTAAAAGTAAGTAACAATTGTCATTAACTACAAATAACTTTAATTTAGTATTAAAGAAATGGGGGTTTTTTTTAGACATATTTTGTATTGGCAGTGTTCTTGTCTTCGAAGTTCTAGAGGGTTTGAGTGAAATCATGTAGTACTCTAGGATTTTATCTAAAATCAACTTTGTTCCTCACACCTCAAGCCAGGAAATAGTTCCAGCTATGCCCTTCTAGCCAGGCTTTTTGTTTTGCCCTCTCACAATTCGCTTGTACGTTGCGATGTAGAAAATTATGCTAAACCTATTGCTGAAGGCGCGCTTTTGCTGATTTAATCAAATTTTACAGCGTTTTAATGACCTGGAAGCTGACGATCAATTTGCAGGCTAGGAATAACAATGGCAGAGCATTCCGGATTTAAACTGGTTGATGAACACGATAAGTGTTAGTGGGTTCAGCAGCCAGTGATAATATGAAAAAAAACAAATGAAGTATGACATCCGAATATTTGACGAGTATCTTGAGGCCACAAACTTTAACTTACCGAGTGTAAATGAGTTATGCACAAATGCACACCTCGATGAAGCGCTAGTGATTCCAGCCTAGGCCTACTATACCGGGAATCTATGTAGTGGTATATAAAGTAAATATTTACTGGGATTTTAATTGGGTCATATTTCAAATTACACCCTTTGGTGATCTGGAGGCTGTACTATTTCTCTCAACTTCGTCTCAGGACATAGGGCCCGTTCGAGCGAAAAAATATCCATGCGATTTACCAGTTAATTCACCGGTACACACTTTCTAAACCCGCTCGGACACTAGTCTAATTACCTTACTATCTTGATTATCCGCGACAATTTTGACCACCAAATTGCTGGGTAGAATACCGTGTATAGAATGACTATGGAGCCGGAGGCGATGATAAATCAACCTTAATTGTAGGGTGACCAGTGATGCAAATCAAATTATGCCAAGGCTGATGGGAAATTATGCTAAATTATGCCAAATGTTAAATTTTCAAATAAGGGCCCCCTCCAAATGTTCAATTTTGAATAAGCGCCCTCAAATGTTTAATTTCGAATAAGCTCCCCCTGCATAATGTCCAATTTCGAATAAGCGCCCCACCAATGTTCAATTTCGAATAAGCGCCCCCCTGGATAAGCCCCCAAATATTCAATTTCGAATAAGCCCCTTTTCAAAAATGCAAACTAAACCATTTTTAATACTATTTTTTCTTCAGAGATATTTAATTAATTGTTATAACCCGGATCTGTGTGCTTTGGTGGCATACTGTGTAGGCTATTTACAATGAAGAGTGATTTATTTAGTATTGGAATTGTATACACAAACACTTAAAATATACATCCTCAAATAACTACCCCTCAAAAACCTTCCTGAAATAAAGGATGGTATGGGAGGTAAGTAGACAGCAATGACAAAAGCGACAAACTTTAAATAGAAGAGGCAGTAATGAATTAAAGATTAGCAAAACAAAAGACATTTTTTTTTTTTGGAGCTGATATATATGGAACATGTACGGTTTGCATTGTAGTGAAACACAGATAGGCATTACAGTATCATAATTTGAGATCATGAAAAGTAAAATATTGTTCTTTGTATTTAGCACTTTTAGTCTTTGTGATATTTGAACCATATAAAGTTTTATTGCAGATTGCCACAGTTATAGAATAATAAAATAATAAAATTTAAACACAGTATTGACTAAAACTTTTATAATAAGTCAACGTTTAGTGTGATAGGCCGGTAGGCCTACTTAACTTTTTGTTTTTGACATTGTTCTATTCATAGCTTTGAACAACCAAAAATGTGAAACCTACAAATGCAATATGCGCCTTAAAGATAGAGTTTATAAACACGGGTGGAAGGGGGGGGGGGCGGTGTGTCAAATTTTTTTCATAAAAACTCCAAAAAGAAAGGAGGTCCTTCCTTTTGAAAATTTTGATTCCTAGATAGCTGGAAATGAGCTTTCCCGACTTCTGAGGTGTCTTTTAATGACTTTTAAGTTCTTCAAAATTCAAGGTTTTCCCCTCTTGAAAGCGGTCAGTTAAACCAAACTTTCTCACTCTTATTACTGTAAATAGGCCTATTTATGTTTGTATATACATAAAAAATTTATTTGCATACGTATTCTTCTTTTCATGAACATGATGAACCCCAAAGAAAAAAAGAAGGGTCCTCCGACGGGAAAATTTTGAAAAATTCGATCCCTAGATGGCAGGAGATTAGCTCCCGACTTCTGAGCTGTCTTTTAAAGACTTTAAATTCTTGAAATTTTAAGGATTTCGCCTCCAGCGAGGACAGGACTGGACAGGATTGAGCATGTAGCGTCTCTACTGTTTGTATTTAAACCGCAATATTGAATTTGTATAATCTTTTATATTTCACTTGTAAACCTTACTCTATACTATATCCAGCATAAGGTCAACTAAGGACAGCAACCTGTTTTCTTATGATACTAGAACTTAGATGACAAATAAGTCAGGAATGTACCATGGCTAACTTATCCCACTTTTATTAACTAAAACAATCTATAAAAACACTTGGCTATTGATGAAATCAAAGAAGATAAAATATTGCAAAATACAGTTGAGGTAGTAATCCGACTGAGAACAATGTGAGAAGTGTATAGCAATAGGAATACTGATCTAAGTTCCTGGTACCATAAGGAGAGTAAGGTTTACAAATGAAATATAAAAGATTATACAAATTCAATATTGCAGTTTAAATACAAACAATAGAGACGCTACAAGTACCTAGCCAAAACCATTTTCAATGTGTGGTAAAAAAAATAAATAAATAAAACCACAGAAAGTCAGCTGCAGTGTGCACAGCATAGGATTTATTGGATACTCAATCAGTGGACGAATTCATTTTTATGATGTGGTATCCACGGTTATTGACGGCTGGTTTAGTTCAGATTAAAGTTTTTTTTTTCTTCTGAGGTCAAAATTATGCTAAATTTTTCTAAAATTATGCCAGCACATATGCTAGATGCTAAATGGGTCTAAATTATGCCAAAAAGCATAATTATGCTAGGTCTGGTCATGAAGCTTAATTGTTTTTCCAAAAGTTTTGTCCACAGCCCAGCGTGAAATTCAATAGGTTACGGCCCAGGCATGGTTGCAGCTCTTCTTCGCCTCCTCACACATGCACGACGAAATCTAAATTTTAGTAGCATAGCTATGGGATTGATTTGTAGATTTACCATTATTCGGAGAAATAAACTTGAATAAACTAGCCTACGTACAGATTTTAAAGCAGCATTATAAGTGTTTGAGCTACATTATCGTTCCACCGTGCCGCGCTGTGTGTACGTGGGCCGGTTATAGTAGCAAGTAAACAAAATGGGATAATTTGAAATATACTTCCAGAGTAGTTTCGTTACACGCAATTACCGTGAGCTAAAGCTTGCTCGAACGGTCGACCACCCGCTGAGTGCTCTGCGCGATTACCCGGTGAAATAAACGGAATACGGTTGGCGTTTTTTGCTCGAACGGGCCCATAGTATAGCCTCCAAATTACCTCGGGCTATAATTTGAACCATGACCCTCAACCTAGTAAATATTTGTATATTACTTGATGTTAAAGAATATATGTAGTTGGTAGTGTTTTTAAGAAATTTTTTTCAATTTTATAGGGATGAAGTGTCTTGTGAAGAATATAGAACCTTTAAATCCAGAAATAATTAAAAAACTGGAAAGGAAATTGGAAAAGTGCAGAAACCAAGAGCTAAATCCAGATAGTGAAATGTAAGTGTATTCAACTGTCCATTAAACACGTTTTTTAGCTTCATGTTCTAGGACGTCCAAAAATGTATTATGATATTATACCTGGAGAAAAACAGGTGTCCTATGAGAACATGTGTCCTTTGGGAAAATCTAAGCTCAGTTGGTATATTAATGGTAGTCAAAAGGCCTTGGGTTCGAATCTCCAATGGGGATAACGCAGGTACGCAATAAGTTTCAACAGCCAGTTTGAAAATTCAAAAATCAGTGTTTTTGCACATTAAAATTGAAGTTTCAGTTCCTGATGCAACACGATTACTTAAATATACGAAGTACTGTACAACAAATTCAAATATTTCATTGTATTCGTTAAGTTTATTAACTGAACACAGGAAATCTTCAACAGCTAATAGTACTTGATTTTTAACACTTGTATTTTCATTATGCAAGATATTTGTTACTTATTACTATTTTTAATTCTTTTTTAGATATAAACAGAAATTACAAGCTATGCTTGATGACGAAGAAGAAGCAGTATCTATGAAAAGAGACAGAGAAGCCAAGGTTTGTACTGTTCAATTACAGTCACGCTGCCCTCAATGTCTACCGCCCTCTACATAGGCTACGGTCACACTAGCGTCTCAAGCCTGGCTTGACTCAACGCGGGTGAGATTTCGAGCCATGCTCGAAATTCTGGGTCGGTCACACTAGTTGGATTGACCTCCAAATTATGAAAGTCGAAACAGCAGAGCCGTAAAGAGGGAGTTTGGCCAACTCTGTTTCATGTGTTGCGCGTGTGATTGGGTGGATCGCAATCAAAGATTTTACACCAGACGTGCCCAAACCACTCTTCTTCAACTGATCTTTTATCAGCTTATATTGGGCTCGCAATGCCTTCACTTTTGTTTGAATTTGGGCCGTCGTTCTTCTCATGTCTGAGACTGGCTAATCTGTCAGCAAGCACGCCAAAAATTCCTGTTTTGTTGTTTGTTTTTTTTTTATTTTCTATCCGGTCTCTCAGCTCGGGTTGGCCCCACAAATCTACCAGGTCAGCAGTTTCCTGGTGAGGGGCCATTCTTTCCGAGCGCCTAGCCCCCCCCCCACCCACTTCCCTTCCCTCCAATGATGGAAATGAAGTAATATTGAGGGAAAATCCAAGATTTTAAATAGTAAGCAGTTGTAGACCTCATTCAAAATCTATTTTAGATAGAAAAATGCAATTGTTTCCATCAAAGCAGGTTGCTATTTCTTGGGATCTACCACCAATGAAAAGGAACAATTCAATACTATTCGAAATAGAGAGAGCCGGGGAGAGACTTGCAAATAAAGGGTTAGGAATGAGGCAAGAAAATTTATGGTTATGGCACCTGTAGATGACCAGAAATGGCACCGTCTCAGACTTAAGTTTGAATATAATTTCCTTTTTTTTTCATTTTGAAAAAAATTAGAATGCACGGGCCAGCTAGGCCCCTTAAATCCGCCACTGCTTGGGTTGCCCTTTGTATTCACACTAATAGTAAACATTTTTCCTTTTGTAGCCCATTGCTGTCACAGATATTGACTACAAGGAGGGCTTTGGAGAACTAGACAGTAAAAATAAACTCAGGAAAAGACACATCATTGATAATATTGTGTCTTCCTACATCATTGTTTTATTTGCATTCCAAAGTTGCATTTCAATCTATCGTGATATTGTATGCATCATAGAGATAATAAATTAATTTGAATGCAATGTAATCAGGGGCACAGATGAGTTTCACTGGCTTTTTATTTTGCTTGTAATTACTTTAAGTTCAGGTTGTAAGCAAAGAAAATTTGGACTGCTGTGAAAGTCAAACTAGTGATTTCGGAATTTGCCTTCCATTAATTGAAATTCCCACAACAGTCCAGATTTTCTTTGCTTTACATTACAGAGCTACTTATTGTATATTCTATATTTTTTTTGTGCAAGTCTAGTGATTGAGTAGTAAGGCAACACGGCGCCACAATCTACTAGCTAGGCTCTGGCCCACCCTTTTGGAAAGTAAAAAAAAAAAGAAGAAATAATTGATCGCCTAAAACGCCCAGATTTTATTTTCTGGCGTCGTAAAAATAAAAAATTTATCTGGTTAATTCCCCTCCACACCCCCTAGGATAGTGTTGTTTCGATCGGCTCCCACTTTCGCCCCCACCATTTTGGTCCCCTCCCCCTTTTTCGGACATTTCTGGATCCGCCCATGCCGTATAGCATAAATGATACTGAATTATTGGGTAATGCCTATACCTTTACACATTTATTATGTGTAAAGGTATAGGCAAGTCTCCTAAAAGTCGCAGGAGTCACTTGAACGGCCACCCCGTTCCCACAAACAAGCACGAATCTCCCAAAAAATAACTCTTCTCCAGCAAATTCATTATATTTAACCAAATCTCACGGAAGGGATTTCTTCGAACTTGTGAAAAACAA